CAGCGCTACAGAAGATGACAGAAAGAAATATTAAGAGATTAACCACACCCAAGAAAAGCACAAAGAATAAATAATCCCAGAGCAGCAAATCAAAAGAGGATGGAAATACACACCACAGCAATAAATAACAGGGACCAATGAACACTGCTCATGGATAACTTTGAATATTAATGGTTTCAATTCCCTGATAAAAAAGAAAGAGACCAACAGATTAGATTAAAGATAGGATTCGTGCATATCAGAAACAACAGAAAATGCACAAATTCGTGGAAACTGAACAACTCATTACTAGCCCCAACTCCAAATTATACCAAAAAGTAGAAGCAGAAGACTACTATCTAATTCTCTTTATGTGAACCTAATTACCCTGACATTTAAACACACAAAGATGCAAAAAGACAGAAAATTACAGATCAATATCTGTTATTAACATAGATGAAAAATTCTCAAAAATGCTTGTACACTGAATACAAGATACATTAAAAAAGAATCATCTACTGTAATGAAGCTTCATCCCAGAGATCCAAGGATTGTTCAACATATATAAATTGATAATGTAATCCAGAAATACAGAAAAAGTGGCCTAGATTATTATAAAACACAACAGAGTTTGCACTGAGTTAAAATTAGCTTAGCAACTGAAAAGTGTTGTAACTTATATGGAAAATATCAAGGCAAGGCATGGTGTCACCTAGCAATCACTGTACTTTGGCTTGTTCAGGAAGAGTTGGTGGGAGTCCAAGTGCGTGAGGGTGGCTCTAAGAAAAGAGAAGCTGGGCTGGGGCTGAACCAGGAGTGGTGGTTGCTATGGATGAGTGACTGGCCCCGGTTGCAAAGCTTGGTTTAGGAGGGAAAGACAGTGAAAGAATTCAAGATGTCACCTAATAGAAACTGGAAAGAAATAGTCAAATCCAATCCATTTGGCCTGCCACTGGAGAAGAGTTGGCAGATAATTCTTCGATTGCCTCAGTGAAGGTGGAAGCAGATAAAGTAAAAGATAAAGATGAAAACATGGTACCTCTTTTCAGAATTACTTGGTCACTGATGAAGGTGACAGTATCAGAAGCAGAGCTGCCTTTGAAGAAGTTGAACAGGCTG